AACCAAAGGGAGCCAGGAAGTGCAAGCCTGTCAAGACATCTACTGTTGAGAGCGTTAAGAAGGTCAAGGTGTCTGAAGTACAGAATTCTAGACACTATTTGTTGTAGGATGCTTGAACTCCTCTACTCACATTAGGGACGCACTCTTGAGTCGACTGTAAGTATAAGTTCTACTGGTCCAGGTCATACCTGGACCGGACCTGGACTGGACCTCAGGTCCGGTCCAACAGCGGTCCACAAAGGTTCGGGTCCAGGTCCCTCCTTTACCCGGACCGTATGAAGAGGTCCGGGTTACAGTCCAGGTAAAGGAGGGGTGGACCGGTCCAGAACCGGACCACGGCAACTATAGGTCTGGCAGCCAGCATTGCCTCTTAGTGATACTAATTGATTATTTTAATCCTAGATGGATATCGTTTTCTAATGCAAACATGTGAGCCATCATCCATCTGCTGTTATAAATTGGAAGCATTACTTTACTAAATATCCTGTATAAGTCCAACCAGGGGACAGAATCTCGCTTTTTGGTTTCTCAAGGGGAGCATACACTGCTCGTGTGCTCTCAGGATTCCTGCAAAAGATCGGCTTGTTGCCACGTGAAAATCATGCACAGATACCTTTTGCCTGGAAGATCTTCAAGTCTAGCGATTGCAATGGTGGCCTTGGAAAATGCTCTGATTACAAGAAGACTTTTTCGTTTACAAAGATAGAAGTTGATTTCCTCGGACTTTGGTATGTACGAATATCTATGTAATGACTTGAAATGGCAAGGTGTTCTCATATTTATGCAAGGGGTACTGTTGCTTCGGTTGGAATAGCTGGCAAAGAGTTACCTTTTGCTACAGTCTCGGTTGACCGTGGACTTCGTATCTTTCGCCAAGCACTTGCTCTGGACGAGTGTCGAGTGAAGTTCACCCCCAACTTTAAGCTTACGAAAGCTGGCACTCCATCGGAATTGAAAGTCGAGGGTGCAGATGCACGAGAGACATTGGAAAAGGAAGCCGGTGGTGAAGATGCACGTGAGATATCTGAAATTTCTGTGTTGCATAATTTCAATGTTTGACTGTATTAAACAAAGCGAATGGTCCGTATCGGGGAACAACGTATAGTCCACGTCTACTCCATGAAAATCCGGTGCGTGAGGTCTGGTTTGCCGGATGCCACTCGGATGTCGGAGGAGGCTCTGTTCCCCATTCGACACGCAATTCACTCTCACGCATTCCCCTTCGACGGATGGTCCGAGAATGTTTCCGGATGAATACTAGCATCAAGTTTAATAAAGGAATCGCTTGCAGACATCGGATTTGGCACAGTTCCATTCACGAACGAACAGCTTTTTCGGAGGGACCAACAGAATGTCCCAGTAGCAGTCAACGAAAAAGAAGAGCAACTCGAAGACGCAAGATCTCCGATAGTCGACCAACTCTTCAAATGGTACTGGTGGATTCCCGAACTGTTCCCCGTCGCTCTCCGCCAGCAAAATTCGAGAGACGGGCAGCGCAGCAAGTACAAGAGACAAATTAACCTTGGAAGAGGGCGTAAGATATATGGAGACGCATGGGATTTTGTGGAGCATAACGGTGAGAAACAGTGGTACATACAGATACATCGCTCTGTCCAAGAGCGCATGAACTTGCGGGAACATACTGGCTACGTTTCAAAGGACTTGTAGAAGATTATTTGGCCAAACCACCGAGAAGAGACCTTTTTGACTGATTAGGACAAGTCACACTTTCATGTGGACTAGCTCGTTAGTGATCAGTGCGACAAATGGATCATTCAATTCATTTACAAGAAAAAAAAGGACGGAGCATATCCGAAATGCACCAAACAACACCGGTCAGCACTTTTTCAAGTCAAGCAACTGCAACAATCAGAATATTGGCAGAGCACTACCAGCCCGTATTGGGAAGTCATCCTGTCAAAGTCAAGCATCGGAAAACTTGTCTCGGCAAAACTCACAACCCGCAAGGCATCCGTCCATCCTCCACATTTTCACGTCCTCTCCATCCATCCATTCATTTACCTACTTACCTACCATGTTCATATTCCACTCGGACTTTCCGGAGTTATCTCGGCCGCACAAATCGGAAAAACACACCTACCCTTCGTGCATGTAATACAACGCGGCACGTCTTAACCATCAATACAATCTACAAACCGGAAATGAAAGGAAGCTGTCTCGGCTTCATTAAACCCTTCGCCCAATAGAATATATTGAATGCCAGTTTGTAACTCAGTCTTCCAGGAATGGATCAAGGTAGAAGCAACAGCAGTGACAGGACAGGGAAGTAACGAAGACACACAGAGCAACAAGGTATTCAATTAATGAATTCAGAACACGAAAAGCTAAACTCGCGTGGTTCCCACATGGCAATCTTCCTCCTGTGGACACCGATCGTCTGCTGCATACAATTTATTGAATACCACTCATTTTCGTCGCTAGTGCAGCAGTGCAACGCGATGACGTGAAGTGTAATGGTCATAAATCATTCGAATACTGTACGTATACAATTGTACTTCCATACAGAGGCGTGATCAGAGCAATCATCATTAGTCGGCATCCAGAACAAGCTGAGCAAGTAAAGTACAAGGAAATGGAACAAAAGGTTTATTAGCAAGAAGACCCTTCAATAATGTAGCCGTCAGACATCTAACTAAACGTAGAATTGAGTGTAGTGATCTCACCAAGACGCAGTTTATGAACGTGCGACAAAAAGCTTAATCACGTCACCAACGCCCTTGCATTCTCGGGCAGCCACTCCTGGTCCTCGTCGCCCTCGTCACCACTTTCTGTACACCCAACAACTGCCTTCGCACCTCTCCCTCCTTTCTTTTGTTTCTTCGGCGGAGTACCCTCCTCTTCGTCTAGCTCCTCGTCCCTAGAAACACGCTTTTGCTTCGTTGGACTATTCGTTGCCTCTCCCAAGGGCGCCGGACGAGAACGAGAACGTGCACTTGCTCCCTTTGTTTTCTGACCCTTCTTACTGACGTTGCGCGCATTGTCTAGGCTCCTTGACGTACGGCAATTTTCATCAACCGAGTCTCCATCGTGATCGTCACCTTCTGCCTCGCTACTTTCCGGTGCCAGCGGGGAGCGATCAGCGGCAGCGGCAATCGCAGAATTGTCCTCCGTGCTCGTCGCCTTTTTACTTTTACACTTTTTCTTCTTCGGCTTCGGCACGAACTCGACGTTATTATTTACGGCATATTCAATTTCGACGATGCTAGCATTTTTTAAACGTTTGATGTCATCAAGCGTTGCCATCATTAGTCCGAAGAGCACGAATACACGTACCGTTGTCTCAATTTTACGTTGTCTGGTACGTATGATTCTGCCTTCTTATACAAATTGAGCGCAACCTGCATATTACCCCTGCCGAAAAAAAAACAATGCCTCAATACCAGTGTTTTGACTTCGTAATTTCGGGTTTACTTACTTCTCAGAATGCGCCCGCGCAAGGGCAACGTACGCTCGTCCCGTCTTCTTTTTTGACGTAGGAGAAAGCACATCGGCAAGTTGGACTTCGCGGCTGCTCTGCTCGCTACTCGGGTCATTTTCCACAGAAAGAGGCGGATACTGCATCGTCAGTCATCACTTCCGCCTTCAACGGGCCAAAGGTTACCTACTATTTTTGCTCAAGCTCGGCGAGTCGTCGCTTTAGTTCATTATCCAGATCCTCATGGCGTCTGAGAAGGGGAGTCAATACACCAGAAGGCAAGGTACTCAAAGCCGCCGGAGGTGCAGGTGCAAGCGCTGGTCGGGTCATTTCATCGCTTAAAATAACGTCCGGAGTGGAAGGATGACTCTCCTCTTCTGTGGTTGCCAACACCTGTTTCTCTACCTCCTTCCTTTCTTCCTCCTCTCGACGACGCTCCCGTTCCTCGAGACGGCGTGCGACCTCAATTTCCACGGCTCTGGCAATCTAACGGCAAAAAGTCTCTTAGTCGTTGCTGCTCACTCTCGGTATTTGGCGCAATCGAAAACTTTACCCTCTCGTCGATTTCCTCCTCAGTCATCCCTAAAATCCCCGACCCACTATTGTTACCGCGATCACTGTTTCTACGACTGCCTGGATTCCCGGCTTCAGGGATTGCTTTCTTTGCTAAGCCTTGGCTCGTTCCCTTCGTGCCCATAGTAAAGGGCTGGAATCCGCCAGGACCTCCGATACCGAAATTAGATACGCGTCCCTTTGAAGGACCAGGAAGTTTAGACGATCCGGCGGCTGGCAGTAACGAAGGTCTGCCAGCTTGTCCTATTACGTGACAAAAATTTAAGTTTTCGGCAATTCAAAGCACAACAATCACGTACGAGATGAAGATGTAACATTCGCGGGAGGCAAACAAGGGACCTGTGATGCTAGTGCAGCAAAGTGGGGTTTCGGTGCGGGTTGATTGTCTATTGTACACTGTCAAAACTGCCTGACGATCAACATAACGTCGCTCACCTCGGACATTTACGACGGGCTTGTTCTCAATCTCTTTCGTCCGTGTTGCAAAACTGAACTCTTTGTCAAGGTAAAACGGAATATCAGGCTCTTAATAAACGTACTTGAGGGTGTTCCATGTATCCTGTCTGAACTTCGTCCCAGGCGCCAGGTTACAGATGAGCAAGCCGACAGCAGTCCCACCAAGGGCGTCTTGCAAAATTCTGGTGAGTTTCGAATTTCTGTAGGGAATCCGTGACTCCATAGAAAGCAAGAAGTAAGGTTTTAAACAAAGTCAAGATTAACAAATACAACATACTGCTCCTTGGTTCAATGCGTGAACAACCTGGCCAAGAACACTGAGGGACTTGTTGATTGCAGCTGACTCGGCCATGCGTGCAGGATCGTTTCCTGTGAGCTATTGTACCAACTTGTATTAGCAATCCACAATTCCAAACAAAGAAAAAATCCCAAAGTACCTTGTTATTCTCTGATCCGGCCAGGTCTACGAGGTTGATCTTGCCAGTCACCGCTAAAGATCGGGCAGACAATATTAATGCGTCTATCAAGCATCGCATTGCAGTAATTGGATGACGGACTTTGTTTCGCCGCCAGATCCACCATTTGCACATGCAGCGTCAGTATGGCATGCGAACGTGAAGATGAATGGTTCAGGTTAGTCGAGCCGACCGACCGACGCTTAGTCGCAGCACTGGACAAGCATTAACGGTATTACACATGAGCATGAGAGAATATCTCACTTGTATATCCTATCAAAATCAGCAGCACTCGACAAAGGTATGGAGCTCAGATGTGCAACGAAGACTTGACCAGCGGCGTCCTCTCTGATGGGAAGTTTCGGCGCCTGGTATTACATTTAGATTGTCTGGCAAAAAATACGTTAAGGACTACTTACACTATCTCGGTCGACCAAAAGATCATATGCCTCCTCCTTGTAAATCTCCATGTAAGAAACAGAGAGGCCAATTTCGGCGTTTTCGATAGTTTCACTCCTTTCGAATATGTCCTCGAAGAGATCTCAGATTCAACGAACAAGAATAGAAAAGCGGACAAGTATACCTTTACGACGCGTGGTATTACACCGGGTTGTGCTTTCGAGCCCTGTATTGTGTGTGTTTTGCCAGATGAAGTTACGCCATACGCAAAAACTGTTACGGTCTTTGGAGAAGTATCGAAAGTCAGTAGCCACCCAGCGATGCCAATTTATTAGAATGTACCACTCCGCCAAAAACAATGTCGAGCAGCGGCTTGACATCATTGTTGTAAATTTCCTCCTGGGTAGATTCGGGTCCGTAGCAAGAAGAGAACGGGAATTTGAAGCGCTGGTTGTTGTCGCGCGGGTGGGACATCATGACGAATGCACCGTCTTCGTCGCTTTGCACTCCAACGGCATCGTCGACAATTTCCCCCGGAATACTCGGTCGCAAACGTGCTGCGATGCATATCTTTGTTGCCATCGTTTGCTATGAATTGGCCGACAACGACGACGACAAGGACCGGGTGAATTCACTGCTGTCGAGTGTCCAAACGGAAGCAAACCGAACACGTCCCATGCAAGTGCACGTGATCCACGTGACCGCGTCATTGCGGTTCACGAGACGCGTCTCTCACTCTCTGAGTCTCTCTGTCTTCCGCAATGGCGACAACTGGGACAGCAGTAGCACGTTCGTCGCTCGATAATCCAGAGCTAAACGACCAGATTGAAAAGGCAAAAACACTTGTTGCTTCATTTGCAAGCAAGCCATTGAGCATTGCAGATGCCGAAGGCAAATTTTCGCAGAAGATCAGCGCCTTCAACGAGATCGAGCCCGCCACTGCCTTCACACCACGACATGCCCCACAGCATGTTTCAGCTGAAGTAGAGGCACAACTAGTGAGCTAGATTGTTTCCTATTTCGCTTCTTATCTCTGACAGTGTCTGCATTGCTGTTATTATTAGTCTTTTCTCCGAAAACTCAAGTTCCTGTACTTGGAGCAATATGCAAAGGACAAATACATCAAGACGATAGTGGATGATGATGCCGAAATTATCACGGTCGATGATAACGAAGCTCTCCGGCGGAGCAGCGAGGTCAAGAAGGCGAATCTAAAGGTGGCTAAGGAGCGTCTCACGGAGCGAAACAAACAGTTCAACGAGCTCGCTTCCGATGTCGAAGACAGTAAGCGTTCTGTCCTGTTTTAGATTACAGTTGTATCCTAATACGCTTGTTGCAGAATACGGAACCGCTAAATCTCTCACCGATGAATTCACGCAACTAACATCCCAAATTCTCGACGCGCGACACGCCATCGTCCGACTTCGCGCCGCTCATCCTCCCGGATCACGCCTCTCAGTTGCCTCTGCTAATGCGACGCTTGAGACGCAGACAGAACAAATGACAGCACTTGATGCACAGCTGTCCGACAATGCACTACGTGCTGACAGGTTGAAGGAGCGCATGCAAGAAGCAGCGCGTGACGTCGAACGACTTCGCCTTGAACGTGCTGCAAAGGAAGACCAAGCACGTCGGACAAAAGTGGAAGAAGAAGACGAGCGCGTCGGCGGATTATACGATTGGTAAGTTTCCGTGACATTGCGCATTCAGTAGTCCGCTAATAATCTATCTATTAGGCTGATAGCCTGCCTCACCCTCCATCGCATGCTCTTCTCGCTCGTATCACATAAAGCAGTCGCAGAAAACGAGCTGACCCTCACCTACTCCGTGCCTGCCCACCCAACCTCCCAAACATCAGAACTCACACAACTTACTATTACGCTTCTCTTCCACCCCAATACACGTATATTAGCAGACGCATCAATCAGCTCTCCTGATCAACATCTTGCAAACCTGAACCTTGCAGACCTGATCGGGAGTCATGTACAATCAAATGACGTTCTAGGTCTCATCCGTGGTATACTAGCACGTGTCCGCCATGGAGCGTGAGTATCCCATACGGAATTTGCCGAGATCCCGTTCCCTTGCTTCAGCCACTCCATTTAGACTTGGATGGTAATTATTATCTCTATGGTGCGTCTACACGGAAAGCACGACGCGCGAACTCACTCCTTTCATTATAATTTAGTGTTTGATTTAGTACAACCAATCGAAAGCTCCTATGACTTGATATTTTATGCCGAGTTATTAATGTTCATGTTCTTCGGCTGCCATCAGAATGTGAAAAACTCAGGCACGTTCCTTTCTTCTGTTTCTAAGCGCACCATATGCTTGCGGTCGAATGGCTTCCTCGGTCAACGACTCGTCACCTTGAAGAGTACGTTCTTCACGTCAGTGAGACAGGCCCGAATTACATCCTCAAAAGACGTGATTCCGGCCCCGAAATGTATGATTGCGTTAAGGTGCTTATCCACAGTTTTAGTTCACTTATTAGCCTGTTAATCGACCAAGCCCTCTAATATTCCTGGTGACGTCGAGTGAGTTCTCCGTCCGCCATGTGAATGAAGCAACTTGCACACCCTTGTTCTTTATATTGCACGCGTTCTTGTCCCGCGATATCACCGCATGGGCTGTACTATGGTTTTTCCAAGAGTATCCGGAAGCTACCAGAGTAAGGGACGATTAATAACACTGCAATGCGTCGCCGCAGTGCTGAAGAGACCAGTCTAACCATCTACATACAGTGACAACCACTAGACAGTGATTTCCGTCCGATCATTTAACAAAGTTAAGCTGCATTGTTATTATTGGCTGATCCTCACTATGATACATCCTGATTGGCCCGAGCGGAACGATGGAACATCGACATTGTCTTGAGGTCGGACACCGATCTCGGGCGAAGTGCAAGTTGCTTAGTCCATCCCTTGTGCGATCATTTCGTCTTGCCAGATATCACCCATGACCGCAAGTTTTTCTTGAAAGTTTTTTGGTCCTCCGCTTCATCTATTGGCCCTTCTATCCATCCGTGAGTATTCAATATTTGGTCCCGAATGCCGCGCTGTAGCTGGTTTGATTTCCGCTCGTCCTTCTGTTACCGTGCACCACCAAGATTGGGTGCACCCGGTGTATTCTGTACACGATGGACCCACAGGACTGATCCGGAGAGATTGTCTATCCTTTGTACGCCCTGAACTTCCATTCTTGTCTTTCTAATCGTTTATTCGAACTTGATTCATGATCATCTGCAATTTCTTCTCTCATCTCTCCCGCCCATAATCATCGCCATCTCTTCCCTGATTTGTTTGGAGTAATTACGCCATGGCCTCCATCAATGAGGTTGAAGAAAATCAGTGTATGCGGTGGACCCTATAAAACTCCGTCGTTCTCTGAAACGCTTGCTCTTCTGGGCGACACTGTTAATTCCGTGCATAGTCAATTGCGCAATATGAGGCAGCTTCGCTTCTCCACGTCCCATTTAACTGCCATGCTCTTTCCTTCCTCTCTTCTTCCCTTCTTTCAACCTTCTCACTTTGCCTCCACAGACGAGTCCAAACCACTGCCTCGCCATGCCGTTCCTCAAAGTCTCTGACAGTGTCACATTCCACTACATCATTCCAAGCTGCCCAGACCACGATCGACAATACTTGGATCCTAAGAAGCCGACGGTCCTGCTCTTACATCCACGTCTATTCGATTCCTATTTCTTTACACCGCAATGGCATGATGCACGCCTTGCGCGAGGATACAACCTTCTCGCAATCGATCACCACTACCATGGCAAAACAAATGCCGTGGTAGATGACAAGCCGTACGACTTTATGATGGTATGTCACCTGTCTTTCATACATTTGTATTACTCTTCTAAACACACCGTGTCTCTCGGAAGGTCGCGGCGGACTTGTTACAAGCCTTAGACAAGCTTGGTGTTAAGAAGTGTCACATATTTGGCAACAGTCGTACGTTCATATATCCATGTCCATTATCCCCCATCCAACTCCTAGCTAAATTCGTATCTCGCAGTCGGCGCACCAATTGCTTTCCGTATGTACATTCTACGCCCGAATACAGTTGAAAGCATGATTCTGTGCGGAAAGCATCCCCCTGTTGAGGTTCGTTTCTATTCCTCCGTGTCCCCCATTTTGGCTTCTTGTCTTCTCTTCTTGCATTCAGTTCTGCTTCGTTAATTCGGTCCGATCACTGACTGATATATCCATATTGGACCAAATAGACGGAAGAGAACAAAGGACAGTACCGTTCCCTGCGAGACGCGTGTTTAGACTATGACGACGATGGGAATGACAAGTTAGCGTCCGACGTCGTGTACGGATTACATTACATCTATTTTGGTGAAGAGACTGGAGCAGGTCTGTGTGCTTCTTTCCCAAGCGAGCTACTACCGACAGTCCTTGTATTCTAACCTCTAATATGAAAGATGCCATTATAGAGGAATGGGTGGCCACCTCAAACTTCCGTCCGTCGAATCAAAAACTCATCAAGAAAATATTCTCTTCACTCCTGGATAGAACCCCGCTTTGTCCGGAGCAGGTCGCTTCTGTCACTTGTCCTGTGCTTATTATCCATGGAGGTACGTCCAATCTGCCATCCGAATTCACCCGCTATCTGAAAATAGAACTCACTAATGCTCTTTACAAACAGAGGCTGACGTGCCGTATCCGCCCTCCGTGGCACACGAGATTTACGATTCCATGCCGAATGCTAAGAGAGAGTTAGTCATAATCCCTGGCGCACCGCACTTCTTGAGCTGGACGCACGCGCAGGAGGTCAACGATGTTGTAGTCAGCTTCTTGGATCGCATCACTGGTGTAGACAGCGAGGCACTCGGGCACCTTCCCATTAGTAAGTCCTGTTACTCAGCTTTTCTGACGACGTAGCTGAATAGACTTCTCGATGCATTGAAGATTTTGCAGCGCTTCATAAAAAGACGCCGTTCTGGAAGAAACTCGTGATTTGACGGTCGGGCTCTTCATCGCATTGGACGTTCACTGCGTTTTGAATCCTGAACATTTTATTCAGTGCAGTAGAGTACTGCTCTGTCTGGTCCGCCTCTGTCATAATTTTGTTTGCTCTACAATACGTCTCCTTCCTCTAATTCAATTCCGAGCGTGCGAATTCTATCAGGTTTATTGGCGTGCCGAATGATTCGAATTTAGTAACCTTGTTTTACAGGAAATAAGCTCTGACGTTCATTGATCAGCCACACTCTATGGTGTCGCAAGAAGTACATGAAACATGCGATAATGCCGTAATTTCAAGAGACAACTAATATTGCCACTGGCTGAGTTATGCTTCTGTTAGATATTGTAAAAAATGAGAGAAGTAATCGGATGATTTGCGCACAGATGAGGTTAAGACCGAAGCTATAACAAAAGCTAAGTTACGGTAATTGTACATGACGAATGAGATGGCAATTGTCAGCTTTGTTTCAGTGTTAGCCACGATTCACTCTGAAAAACTTTGTTATAAAGAAATGCAAGTCGATAAAATTTGTCATTAGCGATTAGTAGGACAACTAGGTATGAGTTTGTATTAAAGATTATAAAATATTCGGATAGTGTATTAGAATATATTAATCTGTAAAATAAGTCCTTTACTTGACATACTCATCAAACCTTTACAAGTAAAACATACAGCTTATATTATACTTCAGAACTATATCATAAAACAATAGCTTGAAATACTTGTATTGAGTTATTATAATGCTAAACACGTATGGAAGGGGACCTACTTCGCAACTTTTTTAACTGGAAAAACTATGGATTGTAGTTATACTCGGCATTTTGCTATATTATGCAATTTGAGGTATATATTAAGAGTAATTTATTCACATGATTTTTCACGAGCGTTTGGCTCCTGTATCGTGTCTCAGATATGAAAATCATGTGTGAGCGTTACTTTCGAATTATGTCTCAGGATGGGCAATGATAAGTGGATTACACCTCGCACTGCTCGCAGGAGGTGCACACATACTTTCTCACTTGACTCCGACTTTCATTTGTCCATGGCTCAAGATCCACAGACCTGGGAACAGTACATAGCAGACATACAAGCTGCACAGACCAGCCTTAACTGCATCTCAGATTTTCTAACCACGGTGTTTGCTGGGGAGGCGCCGAACGATACCATGGAAAGCATTTACCAGTGAGCAGTACCGCCTTATCTCAAGTTCGGCTGGCTGCTAATGGCGCACTAGATGGAAAATGTGGGAGGCTCGCAAACAAAACCGCTTAATTCTTCACTGGACCGGTGACCCTGCTGAATGTCCTGTACTAAAGCCTTTACCACGCCGTGACCTCCGCAAGTTGCCAAATTACATCGATTTCCCCAAATCTTTCGATGCACTAGCTTGTTTTAATGGTAAGCACTACTCCTTTATCCGACCGTGTGGTGTACGTTAATTGTATGCTTTGGCTGACTTCTTACAAGAGGATGTATTACATGCACTACTCAAGGCATACGATCAACCCACCGATGGCATTCTCACGGCCCGTGTATTTCGCTTTGTTTCATATATTACCACAGATCAGTAATTGTTCAACCGGAGCAAGAAGTTGAATGTTATACTCAACGTACATATATGCTGTTCAGTGCCAGCCGCTTCACTGTGTTTTTGTTTTATACATTTGGGACGTATGCCCTCCTTCTGTGCTCGTGCTTCCTGAAATGTACTGTGCACCCTCTCCGATCATCTCTTACTTGTCTTTTCTATGTCAACTCGTTGTTTGAACTTTGCCGTATCTTGTTACTGCCCTACGCATAAGGGGAAATAAGTCAATCAGATGTTCCAATGTACATACAGTAAAACAGTCTATACTATCTATAAATTGTAACGCTCCCAAGAGTAGGTAAACAACCCCTGGTGTTACGTGCAGACTGTGTTACAGTGCGTAGCCACCAACGCAGCATCACGTGCATGCCAGTGAACCATACAGATAATGAAAATCATGCGCTACTGTCGGATTCTATCTAGGACTGGACAAAGACCTGTCAGCCTCTGGTATCTCCCTCAGTATTTCAGTCGATTGATGTGCATAAGCAATTTATCATTTGCTCCGACTCCTCATTTTTTCATGGCTCAAAATCAACAGACGTGGGCGCAGTCCATGGCAGACATAGAAACTGCACACACTAGCCTTAACCGCGTCTCAGCCTTGATAAATACGGTGTTTGCTGGGGAGGCGCCAGATGATGTCGTGGAAAGCCTTTACCAGTCAGCAATAGCGCCTTTTCTCAAGTTCGGCTGGCTGCTAATGACGCATTAGATGGAAGATGTGGGAGGCTCGCAAACAAAACTCCTTAATTCTTCACTGGACCGGCAACCCTGCTGAACGTCCTGCTCTGAAGCGTCTGCCACGCCATGACTTCAGCGAGTTACCGGCTGGCGTTATTTTTCCCCAGACCATTGAGGCAGCAGCTCTCCTTGGTCGTAAGCACTGTTCCTTACCCCAATCATATGGTGCACATTTTACATTTTACTGACTTCATTCAAGGGGACGAATTACAAGCACTACTCCATGCTTATGGTCAGCCCACCAATGGCGAACCCCAGGCCCTTCTGTTTCGCTTTGTGTCGTATATTACCACAAATCAGTATCAGTGATTGTTCAACCGGAGCAAGAAGTCCAATGTTACATTTAACATACATATATGCTGTTTATGTGACGCCAGCCGCTTTGCCGTGGTTATGTTTCGCATATTTGGATGTATGCCTTCTTTCTGTGTTCGTGCCTCTTGAAAAGTACTGTACCTCCTGCCCGATCACTTGCTTGAATGTTCTGTGTCACCTCGTTGTTTGCTGTGATCTTGTTACTTCCGTATTTCTGTTACTGTACAGAAGATAGCAGCGAAATATATGAAAATACCGTTATCCAAAAGCAGACTTAGTTTCATTTCCCACCCACCCAAGATAATTGTGGCAGACGAGAAATAAATCTTCGAAGAAAGTCCAGCACATCAGGATCTTCGTAATCACTCATGTGCTGCTTACAGCAAGACTAGACAGTCCTTAAAGGTTTATAAAAGTCTAAGAATTACGAAAAATTTCATATTAAATCATAATGACAGTCCAGGCACTCCAGGCAGTCTGAGTTCTAAAAGTAATCCGAGAATTCTAGAGGTAATCTAGAGAATCTGTGCAAATCCTGGCAGTCTCATGTATTCTAGGACTTTCTGGAGGGGGGTGGGGGGGGGGGGCTTTCAACTTCTGATGTCATCTTTGCTAGTGTCTGCAATTTGAAGAAGGTAACTGAAAATATGTCTTAGAGGAGAGAAAAGGACCTACTACGTCTATAAAACCCATTTAAATCACTTCTATGCGGAACTTTTGATTCGGATGCGCTTGAATAACTGTCATCATCAAAAATACTGGGTCTCTTTTGATCTGAATTTCGCAGTTAAGTAATCCAAATACAAAAAATGATCAATTTCACTGAACAAACTTACGTTGTTTGCCAGACTTATGATCTAATGGTTTGTTGATCGGTCAAGTTAAATCACACATGCCGAGAAAGAGGTGGGAATAGTAACTCACGTTTGCGCTCAGCTGGTCTCCGAGTCGATTTCCTATGATCAGACCAATGTTGCTCAATGATAGGATGCTAATATCTTTGGAAAAGCAAAAACATAATTGAGCACCTACTTTTTCTTTGGATTTGGAGGACTGTTCCGGTGCATCTGCTCCCGAAACATTGACCTCAAGTTGTCGGATGACACTGTATGACGTATAGATTAAATATACATTTTCAATGGCTATGGAAGTTACTCACTAGTCTCTGAAGGGAAGCATGTATCGAAGCACGCATTGTATGGATTAGAATAAATGGCAGCAATTGCTACAAATATTACTCACCGTTCCCGGTGCCACTTGTACTAAAAGGGTTTGCTGTAGGAACACATCTTTTAAGAATATATACTAACATGAGAACTAGTATGTAACGATATTTTGTACCTGATTTGTGCTGTCCTTGGGCTTCTTTGAACCGCTTGCGCGAGAGAATCAGGTCATCCACCCATTTGCGATCTCTAACGTCAGCCAGGATTTCATATGCATCTTGTAACTACAAACAAAGTATGTGTAAGTTATTCATGAATAAGGTCCACAACTAATACTACCTCCTGGAACTTTCTGGTAGCATCAGGGTCATGCGGATTTTTATCTGGGTGCCGAAGCTTAGCCTACAAGAGTTATAACTAAATGGTAAATACCTTGCATTGACTCATAAGAAGAAGACTACAAACTAGTTCTCTGTATTTATCCTTAATATTATTGTCAGCTGCTTGATTGTCCACTTCTAACACTCTGTAAAGTTTCTCAGGGTCTTGCATAATTGCCTCATGCAGAGACTGACTGATGTAGACCATTCTGACTGGTTCTCTCCACTAGGCCAGAACCAACTATGTTAACAATCAAGCAAAAAGTTCTGGCTGCTTTATACTCAAACACAATACAATGTAAAGGTATTGCAATTTTTTTTGATATATTAAATGCAAACTCACATGAAACATTAGTAATGTCTGGTATAAACCATAATATACAAGTGACATAGCTACATTATAATACTTTATAAGTATTTGCAACTAAATACATACTTATTGTTTACTATAAAGAAATACAAATACAAATACAAATAGTAATAACTAAACAGAAGGATTAACTGTAAGGTAGTAATACTAATAGAGGTTGACATTAGTACTCTATTATTAGAAATCATAGTAATCAAAAAGTTTGCACATAATTCTATTGGCTGTTACTGAAGATGCTGACAAACCAGAACATTATATTACTCTCTTTTGTACTATGTTCATTTTTGTATTTGCTCCTCTTCTATTTCACCAATTTTGAAGGAATAGTTGTGAGAAACAAAATTGGTATACAGTAACTTTGCTCAGAAAAGAACTATGCCTACCTTGCTTGACATGTGTGTAACAGAATCTTCTGAATGTATCACTCTTACTTAGTACCTTTTATATGCACTACTTTTACTGTATGTACACTGGGTACACTGTGCAAGCAAACAAGTTGTCTGTTTCACAGAATGTGAACCTAGCTCAAGTGGTTCAGTACTCAAACAATCAATATAAATAAATATGTTGCATTCACTATAACTGTACATATCACTCCTGCCAGAACGTCCATCATGGATTTATTAAACGGACAATCCATAGTACATAATATATACTCAAGTACTATCAAAATTACAGACTGTAATTCTGGGATACAGAACAGTTCAAGTGAAAGAGGGGAAGAGAGGTCAAACAAACAATTAGCAATACTCAAAGGCAGACTTGGCCTCATTTCCTTATTATTGCAGCGTAACACAAATAAACCTTCGGAGACGATCCATGAGGTCAATACGATTGCCATCATGGGGTTGTCTATATGCTTGTAATATGCTTTGGAGTTCGGCCTCTTGAAAGAAATCAGGTCATTGTACAACATGTAATGGGAAAATACAATACTCACTTTTCATATTAATGAATACCTGAGGAGTCTACAGAAAGTTGACGTTGTCAGTCAGAGCCAGAGGCTGAAAGTGTGGTTCGTCGCCGGGGTTGCCCATCTAGTTAAAAGCACGAAAGTTGCGCTCTCGCGCCTCGCGTAGTAGAAAGCTGTGGAGGACAGAAAGGAACCGCATTGCCTACGTATAATAAGGTGACAATATCATGCGTCATGTTTGTTGAACCTTCTTGCACATGATCCAATTCGCTGTTTATGCCCATGTTAGCTAGCTGACCAGCAATTTGTTGTAGCTAGTTGGGCCAATTGGGTTGATTCTGTGCCCGTCAATTTTATGAGCAGCAGCAAGGATGGAGCGTAAATAAGAGGACACTGGAGCCAGCTGAATGGAATCGAGACAAGGTGCCAAACAAGTCATCTTTGCTTTAATACTTAGTCCTAAATGATGCCAGACCAGCACACCGTCGCGCTCATGGATTGCAAGGCAAGGTTAGGAGAATGGAGTGAAGTCACTGGCGCTTGATTCATACAAGTAAACGTCACAAAACTCAATACTAAAATCAGATTCTTTTAGATGCACATAAAACAGCGCAAAGTGGGTACTTAAACGCCAAAAGAGGGAGGTGTACAAACGAGCCTTAAGGAAACACCACGCAGTATTATCACCGACCCCTGCCACGTCCACGACCACGCGGACGTCCGCGATCGACAACGGCACGTCCTCGTCCTCGTCCACGTACTTCTTCCTTTTTGCGATTCTTTGGTTTTGGCGCGTCGTCAACCAGAAGGGTATCGAGCGGCAGAGCGTCGGGGAGAACAAAATAGCGGATATTGTTTCCGCGAATGGAGAGCGTGTCGAGCGACTGTGGGTCACGGTTGCGCATCGTCATTTTGACGGTTTTGAGATGGGTGTTCATCTGCATATCCACACCTGCAAAGACCAGTAAGTATATGTCTGTCTGTCGAAACGGACTGTTAGACAAAGGCTGCCAAACCTGTGATCGTTCCATGCACGATCGAACCGTTTTTGAGCTCGATTGTCACCGTCTCGTTGTTCAACTTCATCAAGAATCTGAAAAGGCACGATAATTAAGCGAGAAACTCAGAAAGCGTGCAAAAAATATATATCACACCTTACGAGTTTCATGGTGAATGGACTGGACGACGATGTATGTCCTGCCTGCCTGGCGTCAAAAGCGTCGCTGTTGCTCGTCAATTGTAACGCCGTGACAATCAGTGCGTGTCACGCGATTTCAGTTTTTCAACTGGTCAAAGGCCAATAATAATGGCCATGCTTCATTGCTCGACACTCAGTGATCTTCTCTTACCACCAGCGCTCATGTCTTCTTAGTCCTTATGCTTAGCGTAGCTCTCAAGTAATTCCTGCTTAACTCAAACTTACATAATACAAACTATGCTTTTACTTGGCCTCAGTTTACGTTCTTATAGGTTCACAGTTCTCACTCAATCAAAGCTCTTGCTTCTTACGGCCTGGGCTCTCAATTTACGATCATCTTACAACTTAGGCTCTTGCTTAATCGCACTTCTTACAGCTCAGGTCTCAATTGCCTTACAACTTCGGGGAAAAAACGCAGGCAAAAAAAACCGAAGTTGACACTTAAGCTTTACAGTCTTGCCTCACACCTCTTGAGTCTTGAACCACGTGGTATCTCGCTGTCTTGCTGTCTTGCTGTTTTGAGGTCACACAAGCCTGGCGGTCTCGCCGCCGCCGAGAAGACTACGAGACTAAGCACATGCTATTCTAAGACGACCAGCCCGCCACTCCACTCCACTTTTCTTCCCCACTGTCATCTTTGGTATTCTCGTCGTCGGCCTTGGGATACACGAAACAAAACAGAGTGGCCAGTTCTCCTTTGGTGAGCGTCTCCCGCCGTCGCCGTCTGCCTCGCATCCAGAGACATGTATCCAATTCAGCGTGCCCCATGGCAGCCACGACCTCTCGTCCGACAGCTAACCCCAACTCGACGTCAAATCTGTAGAGAAACATCAGTGAACTGTAACAAGTAGATGCACGGATGCTCGTCTCATGTTGTCTGCGCAGACTCCAGGGGACGCCAGACCCAGGTTTTCTGGTCCTAAGCACAAGACGAGTAAGTGAACAGATTTCTGAGACCCATAGACTCAGAAATTGAAACGCCTTATGGCTTAGCTGTGTTGGGATCGAAACGTCTCCTGAATAGGCATCTGTAGGGAAAACGCCTTCTCTCCCTCGACGAATAGCACGATGCGCAGCCTGCTCGAGAAGTAGCAGACCAGGGCGCCAGTCGTTGGGGCTAGTGAACTACGTTAACTTGTCATCGCTGCTGACGTCGTCCGTGTCACTGACTTTGGTAGAGAGGATGACCTTGGCTGGGCACTGGTGATCGTGACGACGAAAGGCTCCGGCGATGCGGTCAGAAAGCCTCGGCACAAACTTGCTGATGAGAGGAGTGGCCAGTTCGCCCTCATCCTCAAGCCCATACTCCGGCTTTCCGAACCGCGGGAGCATGTCGATAGTGTCGACCATAAGCAGGAAAGGTGGGATCTCAGTCTTCCGTTCACCTCGTACTCGGATACTTGCGTCCGACTCAACCTGCGTCACTGTTACCGAACTCTCTCGTTTGGTGGCTGATGCTAGCTCAACTACAAGTCTGTAGAGAAACGTCTGTAAACTGAAACAAGCAGAAACGCGGTTACTCGTCTTATGTTATCCGAGCGAACTACGTCTGATGCTGAAGCCTGGTCTCCTAGCCCAACGCAAGGCGAGACGATGAACGACTTCTAGGACTCCTAGTAGAAATTGAAACGTCGGATAGCGTAGCTCAGTTCGGAAACAGCTTCGAACGCGCTCGAATGTCTCGGGTCTCCTTACGATCTCTGAACGACGCGCCGCCTGCTCGAGAGATAGCAGGTCAGGATGCCAGTTTGTCTCGGAGCTAGTGAATCACGGTAGACCATCGTTGTTGCTGACGTCCGCCGCGTCGCTGACCTTGGTAGAGACGATGACCTTGACCAGGCGCTGGTGATCGCGACGACGAAAGGCTTTGGCGATGCGGTCGGAAAGCCTCTCCACAGACTTACTGACGAAGGGAGTAGCCAATTCGGCCTCATCTTCAATTGGTACTCTGGCTTTTTGGAGTGCGGGTGTGTCGATGGTGTCGCGTATAATCGGAAAAGATGGAAACCCCGTCTCCTGGTGGACAAGCTCTCTCGTTCGGTGGTTGATGCTAACTCAATTCCAAACCTGCACGGGAAAATCAGTGGATTGAAACAAGTAGAATCGCAGGTACTAGGCTCAATGTCCGTACCAACCACAGGCAGCACTGAATCCGGTTCGTCTAGTCTTAGGTGCAAGATAAGTTAGTGAACAACTTCTAAGACTCTTGGACTGCGAAGCGGAAACGCCGGATAGCTTAGCTCAGTTCAGACCGAAACATTTCCTATTAGAGAGAACGACCTTGACTTGGCGCTGATGGCTGCGACGGCGAAAAACTTTGGCGATGCGGTCGGAAAACCTCGGTACGGGACTTGCTGACGAAGGGTGTGGCCAGCTTGCCCTCATCCTCAAGTCCGTGCTCTGGCTATCTGACCGGGGGGAGCGCGTCGATGGTATCGCGTTTAAGTGGGAAAGGCAGAATTCCGGTCTACTATTCATCTCGTACTCGAGCCTGCGCATTCGACTCTATCTGTCTATGGTGGATGCGCTCTCTCGTTCGATAGCCGACGCTGGCTCAACGCCAAATCTGCGGATGAACATCAGCGAACTGTAACGAATAGGTGCACAGGTACTCGTCTCATGTTATCTGCGCCAACTTCAGGTGATGCCGAATCCGAATCGTCGGGTCCTAGATGCAAATCAAATCCGTAAACAACTTAAAAGACACTTATATCGCAAAACTGAAACGCCGGATAGCTTAGCTCAGTCCGGGTGCAAGCGTTCTTCTGGAGAGACATTTCCAGAAAGGGCATCCACCCTGGGCCTCCTTTCTCGAGCAGCCTCAAAAACGCTCGAACGCCTCGAGTATCCTTATAATGCCTGCTCGAGAGGAAACAAACTAGGACGCCAAGTTGCTAGGGACGGTAAACCACGTTAGTCTATTGTCGCTATCGACATCGCTCGCGTCGTCGACCTCGGTAGAGAGACGATCTTGACCCGGCGCTGGAAATGGCGCCGACGAGAGACTCCACTGAGGCGGTCGGAAAGCCTCGGCACAGACTTTCTTACGAGTGGAGTGGCTAGTTCGCCCTGGTTCTCAAACCTGTGCTCTGGCTTCCCATACCAGGGAAGGACATCGAAGGTATCGCGTATGAGCGGGAAAGCAACTCGAATTCTGTAGGGAACATTTAGTGAAACGCAACAAATAGAGAAGCAGGAACTCTGAGGATGACATTGACTCCGCGCTGGTGATCACAACGACGAACGACTCCACCGAGGCGGCCGGTAAGCCTCGGTACAGATTCGCTGACGAAGGGAGTGGCTAGTTCACCCTCATCCTCAAACCCATACTCTGGCTCACCAAACCGAGGGAGTGCGTCGATGGTATTGCATTTAAGCGGGGAGGATGGAATCCCGGTCTCCTGTTCACCTCTCGTATTCTAATATTTGTATCAGGCGCGGCCTGCCTCACGACGGACATGCCCTTTCATTCGATAGCTGACGCCAGCTCAACTCAACTCTAAATCTGTAGAGAAACGTCAGTGTACTGTAACAAGTAGAACTGCGGGTACTCGTCTCATTCTCTGTGCCAACCATAGGTGACGCTGAACCCGGGTCTTCTCGTTCTAGGCGCTAGGCGGTGACCAATTTCTAGGACGCTTAGAAATTGAACTGCCAGAAGGCTGAGCTCAGTTCAGGCGGTACATTCTCTGGATATGCATCTCCAGAAAACGCATCCACCCTCCCTTCGCGAACAGCTTCAGACGCGCTCGAATGCCTCGGGTCTCCTTACGATATCCGCACGACGCGCAGCCTGCTCGAGAGGTAGCAAGCCGGGACGCCAGTTGTCAGCGCTAGTGAACAACATTATCGCGTTGTCGCTGTCGACATCGTCCGCGTCGTTGACCTTGGAAGAGAGGACAACCTTGACTCCGCGCTGGCGATCATCACGACGACGAAATACTCCGCTGAGGCTGTCGGAAAACCTTCGCACGGACTTACTAACGAGAGGAGTGGCTAGTTCACCCTCATCTTCAGACACGTACTCTGGCCTTCCACACCGAGAGAGCGTTTCGATGACGTCGCGTTTCAGCGGGAAAGGTAGAATCCCGGCCTCAAGAGGTAGGAGGACAACCGACTCGTTGAACGTGATGATGTACATTGTGCTATGCGGAATATGTAGATGGGGGTTTGGTAATAAATGCGTGAGGGTGGGTGACGATGGTAGGGTAAGAATGCAAGAAGCAATGAGTTGTTCCTCGTTCTTCATACCTTATTTATAGACAAATCTAACATGTCTCAAAATCGTCGTATGTTGGCTCGAGCTGAAACGAAGCGTTGGCTTATTCTGAACGCAGCTGCATAAGGTCGGGAGCATCCATAAGATACAAATTTCAAATAACAATAAGTCCTTAGTTTATGTCAGAATATGTCTCATACTTACAATTGAAGAAGTATTACACAGTACTTATAAAATTAAAAAGCCGGACCATTTGTAAAAAGGAAAACAGAGACAGTTAGATGACATTCCTTGAATAACAGAATGGCTGTCCTGATTAGTGTCTGATTCCTTTATGTGAAACATAACACTATAAGTTTATTGTCCTAACAGTTTAGATAACTGTTCAATTGTGTTGCTACAACCTTTGTCTGTAAACAATGTGACTTTCTGTATTTGGAAGGTAAAGACTATACTATAGTTGTATTGTTTCTGTATCTGAACCCTGAGTCCTACAGCTCTTTTTAGGTTAGCTCCAACTGGCCACTCACAAATTGACTTGAATTTCACTAAGTCAAAATAAAGTCATTTCCCTAAGAAAATATATATTCCCCTCCCCCAAGCCTAACTAACACTCAACTTAACACTTAAACTTAACAACCTAAACTAAACCTAAACCTAATTAGAAAGGCTCTACCCCTCCAAACCCCCCTCCTAACTTCTTAGTCTGTAAACCAGCATACAAGTATTATGTAAGTGGCTAGTCAGGGTTGTTCTAAAAAGAGTTATGAGACTTAGGGTTCAGATATAAAAAGTTAAAACTATTATACTATTATAGTGTCTTATATAGTTAATTTAAAACTATTTCACTTATTTCTATTCACTACAACCTTTATACAATACAAAAAGTTATAATTATAAATTACAACATTTTGTCTATAATATACTAGTTTTATTTTTGTAAAAAAGTAAAAATTAAATATTTTATTGATTTTATAAAATAACAAGTCAAAAAGTGTAGTTTAACACATTTAACCTATATATAAACACTCTATAAGAAAGAAATTTGCTTACTATATCTAAGTACATATTTTTAGTATACAAACTTAATTTTGACTCTATTTAGAATAATTTGAATTAGAAACAGAAGTAATTACATTCTATCTATTTTTTTTAAGTTTATTAACTAATAAAATTATAAGAACAGACTTAATATAATAATTAAAAACTATTTAATTATATTCTACTATCTCTCTCTTACACTCTCCTCTATCTCTTACTCTTACTTACTCTATACTTCTAATGTATACTAGTTCTAGTATAGAGTATATTACTTTCTCTTCTAAGAGTTGAGTTACTGTGTTTGTTAGAAATCTCTCCTCTTATAAAGTAATACATATTCTACTATTTTATATAAATACTAATTAATTTCTTCCTCCTTTATTTCAAGCTTATATTCTTTCTCCTTTAGTTATTAAAGCTATACTACTCTAATACACTTAATACTGTTTATTCTAAAGAACTTACACATTTAAAAAAAATTAATAACATTATTCTTACTACTAATACTTGTAATAACTATAATTTTTACAGTTGTAAAAACAATAACCTAGTACAATTTACATTTTTAATTTTAAGCTATAATATTTAGTACATATATACTTCCAACTTATATAAATATAAATAATAACTTTATTTTATAGATTATCAAAGTAGAATTGTGTATAAAAAATTATGAAGTTTGAGATTAGTGAATTTGTATTTCTAGTTTATCAAAATTATATTATTAGCAATATTCCTTGTAACTTACTTAATACTCTGCAGAAACTTCTACAAAAAAACACACTAATAAAAAATATACAATTACACAAATTTACAGAATTATAGCTCAAAATATTGACTATTTGAATTACTATAAAGTATTCATTGTGTGGGAAAGAGTTTGGTTCACTCTAAGAGCTCAATTTCTTGTACTCTTCGGATTGTAAGTATAATAACTTGTTTTGTGCTCATTATATTGACTCAAAATTTTGAATATATATTTATTAGATGTTAAGCTACATAAATACAAAAGTTTATGAA